CAAGGAGACATTAGGAGGCATGGCTGCTTTTCTTAATTTTTCAAAAGTTAGATGTATTACATATATTCTAGTTTCCCTTAATTACATATTATTGATTTTGTCATTCATAAGTTATCTAAACATTTTAATTGTTTATATCTTCATTCTTTTCTACCTTTAGAGATAATAGGCTTCATGAGTTTTGTAAACTACTGTTAAGGCCTTAAACTCAATTTTTTCAGTTACATTTTAGTTTTATGAGATTGGGCTAAAAAGTCTGCATTTACCCTAACTATACCTTTCCTGATAATCTAGATACAGCAATTCCTACAATAGGAAGAGATTGCAGAATGTAGTTTTATGAATATGTGCTGCTGTGGTATTCTAGGAATAACATCGGGCACATTCTCCATTGTGGGCTTAGAAAGACCCCTTAATATAACACAACTATTTTTTTTTCATGGGAAATGAATGGAATATGCAAATAATATTTCCAATTTTCTTAAAGTAAAATAAACTTTTTTGGCACTATTCCCACAAGGATAAATTTCATATATTTTAACAAATCTATAATGATTTAAAAGCCATAATAAGAAATCTCAGTCCTCAAATATGAATATTTATATTCTAAGGTTGCTAGTAAAGAAAAGTGGGCCCTGCCTAGCAAACCAGTCTCAAATAGGGCACTGAAGTGACAAGTGAATCTTATCACAGCCAGTCATTTCTGTCCCAAGTAACCTAGCAAAGTAGTCAAAACCTTCCCGCTTTGAAACAATCTACTTCATTGCATGTGAAGTCCTGATTCTGCCTTGCAAAAAGAAGTGTGGTGATGGTATTTCCAGATTTGCTCTAACATTAATGAAAAAAGAAACATCAGAGGCAGAACACTAAAAGCAAGATGTCTACTAAAAACCTACAATAATTATCATAATTAGTTATGATATTGACATATCCCTGAGATTGGGAAGAAGGAAGAGATGTTTGCTAATACTACATATATTCAACCTTGTATTGGGAGATCCTAGCTAAAGTCTTCCTTTAGAAATAAGAACTAGAACTGTAATTTTAACACTGAGCATAATTGGATAGACAGTCCAAAAGGATTTACAAATTATTGGAAGTTATCAAGTTTTCTAGATATGTCAGTATACAAAATTAATTGTATTTTTATATTCCAGCCACAAACAAGAAAAAGAAATAAAAAATTACAGCATATAAAAACACCAAATGCCAAGGAATAAAGCCAATGAAAGGTGTGCAAGACCTCTAAAATGAAAACTAAAAATTTTACTGAGAAAGATGTATGTGGAACAAGTAAAACTTTCATACACTGCTAATGGAAGTAAAATTGGTACAACCATTTTGAAAAACTCAGTAGTATTTACTGAAGCTGAACATAGACATACCCTATGACCCCCCAAATTCACTCCAATACACGTGCAACAAAAATGAGTTTATATTTGCTTTGAAATTTTTACAAGATTGGTCATAACAGCTTTACTTGAAATAGCCCCAAACTGAAAACCACCTAAATGTGCAGCAACAATAAAATGCATAGATATATTCACATAAAGGAATATCACACAGCAATACAAATCATTCAGCAATGTAACTGAATATCATATATATAATGTTGAACAAAATTAGCAAGAAACAAAAGAAGTAAATAATACATATTTTCACTGATATGAGAGTCTAAACCCCACAAAACGAATCTATGGTTCAAAGTCAAAACAGTAGGTACCTTTGTAGGAATAAGTGGCTGAGAGGCATGAGGGAGATTTCTGAGGTTCTAGAGACATTCCGTATTATACCTCAGTTAATAAAGCTTACTCCTAAAGAGGTAAGACCAAGGTATACAAAAAATTCCAAGTAAAAAAAGCAAGAGTTGTTGTATTAATAGTAAACAAAGTGGAATTCAGGTGGAAAAGACATAATATGAAATGAACAATGGTGATTAATGGTACAAGATGCACTTTTTGTGGATATATTTTAAAATATCTACACATGAATATTCTTAACACAGCAGATATAAGGAAAAACCAAAACACATTATTAGTACAGTATTTTAATTCTCCTTTTCTCCATCCTTGAGTCAAGTAATCAAAATATAAGGACAAGAAAGACTTAAATAATATGAAAGCAACACTTATAATTACTTAATGCTACAAGTTAATATTAACTCAGGTAAAAGTAATAAACTGTCTACCATATGGAAAACACTGTTAATGCAATCACAACTTATAAAAACCTATGACACATATAATGCACATATAATGGGAAATTTAATCTTATTATATAGATATAAAGAAATAATATCAATGTAAGAAGTGAATTAAGCATCTACCACACACACACAAAAAAAGGAAAAGTGCAAAATAAAGGGAAGCAGAGGAGGGAACTAACAGAGTTAAAAGCAGAAGTTAAGTTAAAACCCCCCAAACCCAGTAAAACTTGGGTTCAGGTTTAAAAAAAAACAACACAAAAATAGATTGACTATTAACAGCCTAAAAGAAAGAACCACAGTCTTTGCATATGTTACACTGAACATTGTTAGAAAATTTCCATAATGAAAACTTTTCTTTTTTTTAATGAAATGTTTTCTTTACAGGTAATATGAACATACAAAATAAGTAATTATAAAGGTTAAATGACTTGATGGGAGAATTCTACCAAAACTTTAAAAAGCAGTTAACTCCAATAGTATTTAAATTGTTGGGCATAAAGAAAATCCTTAAAAGAAATATCTGAATGCAGAAAGCTGCTGTAAGGCAAGAGATACCACAAGCAAAATTAAGAAAAAATATTTGGATCTCATGTCATAAAAGGGTGATCTTAATTTGTAAAGAGGCAAAAAAATTAATATGAAAGGGACAAATAGCCCTATAGAAAATGGATAAATTGTATGAATAGATGATTTACAGAAAAAAATATTTAAAGAGTTCTTAAACAGTTGAAAAGGTATTAAATATAACTTAATGTGAGAGAGAAATTGAAACTACATCGACATATCCTTTTTTCCCAACAGACATAAAATTTAAAAAATGATAACCAATAAACATTGGTTTATTGATGTTATTGATAAAAGGAGGGAAATAGGGAGAATTTATAAAGATTAGACAGGCATATACTCTGACTCAGCAGCTCCAATTTTAGGAATTTATCTTATAGGTATACCTGTACACATTTAAAATGAGGAATGTACCAAGGTCGGTCACTGCAGCATTGTTTGACATGACAACTTTGATAGCAAACTAAGTGTCCTTTAATTGGTGAAAGGACTATATAAATTAATAGTACATACATGCAATTAAATATCATACAACTGTAATGATTATGTAATCAAATGGAAAGACAAGATACACAGTAAACTGAAACAAGCAAAGTAAAGTGAAATGCATATACTACTTGTGTATAAAACAGGAAGCAAAAAAGAATGTATGTTTTTTGGTTTGTTTACAAACACAAACTGAAAGGATAAATAAGAAAGTAACTATTTTTCAAAAGGATGGAAACAATATATGGGAAAGGATGGGAGGGAGAATTTAAATTCCATTTCTTTTTGACATATGAACCCTATATTACTATTAAAATTCGGATTATGGATAAGAATTTAAAGTGAAGTTACTTAAATTGATATAGAATATTGAATTGAATTTTATATTGAAGATTTCTGACATAAAAATATCAAAGTAATATTTAAGGAGATTAATTTTGCAACATGATTTGCAAAGTGAATTGTAAGAGTGAGAGATGGATAGCAGAGACACCTGTTAGAATATTTTTGTGATACTTTAAATGTGGAATAATAAATGCCTAAATTAGGATGGTGCCAATAGAAATGCAAAAGAAAGGGTAATGTATGAGATCATATTTAAAATAAAGCAGTAAAATAAGGATTAAATAGATATGATTAAACAAAAATTTACACAGACACAACTAGATTCTACTTAGCCTACATTCCTGAAGAATAAGGATAAACAACTAACAACTCTTAAGACAGCAAACTGAAGAAATGTCACAGTTCTAAATGAATTTCTAAAAGTCAAAATTAATTCCTTATAAGGTATTAAATGTTTATACATTTGTGTTAAGTTAAAATAAAAAATTAAAACAATTTTTGATACTCTATGTAAACATATCTATAGTTCAGTATCAAAGATATACCTAATATTTTTGGTGCTTAAAAATTTACATATTATTATATATGCATTGGAGAAAAATCAGATAAATAAATAAAAGAAGCTAACCATTCATAATCCCACCACCCAACAATTTCTACTACTAACATTTTTTGCATACCTTAAAGACTTATTCCGAGGAATCTTTATACTCACATTTTTTGTATATTTTAGTGGGCTCATGCTTTATCTTGATGCTTTAGTTCCAGCATATTATCATTATTTCTTTTTTTAATCAATGAATATACATGTTTCCAAACTGTGGTCCAGAGGTATGAACCAACTAAGGTCCAATGATATCATATTCTCTGCACCTACAGTATACATTTCCCACTAATTCAACTCTAGCTATAAGAAAACAGAATTTCTGTATAACATTACCAATTTTTACTTAGCATTATTTACCTCTGGTAAAAAACCTTCCTTTAAAATGTCTTTAATAGTACTACACTGAGGGTTGTTGGAGTGGAGGGGGGTGGGAAGGATGGGGTGGCTGGGTGATGGACATTGGGGAGGGTATGTGCTATGGTGAGCGCTGTGAATTGTGTAAGACTGATGAATCACAGACCTGTACCCCTGAAACAAATAATATGTTATATGTTAATTAAAAAAAAAAGTACTACACTCATACCTCTGGTCTTAATTTTTTCGGAGGCCAAAATATTTTTAAAGACATTTATTTCTAATTGATTTTGGAGTCAAATTTGTTTACGATTAAATTTCAGAAACTATATTACAATTACTAAAGTTATGAATTTCACATTGTAAGAATTATGAAAATAAAGCAGTAGATTACTGCAGTGAATTACCGGAAAACTGAAAGGTACCATTCATGTTTACCTGAAGTGGGAGACTTGCAGCGTTCGAGTTCCAGGGGAACTGGACTGTCATTTAGCTCAGTTAAACCTGAAAATGAAATGATCATAAGTGAGATAAATTTTGCTAACACTTTGTAGATAATTCTTATTTATTCCTGAAAATTTAAAAAGGTTTTTCTTCCCCCTGTGAAAACTACTTTTGTAGTCTCATGTTATGACAGTGGTTCTGATAATTTGTTTCAACAAGTGATACTGGAAAAAATAAGGAGCAATAACTAATAGATATGCAAAGAGTAACTGAACATAATGGTAGAAAAATATAAATCTTTTTTATTTTTTCATATGAAATAGCTACTTTATTTTATTTTTTTATGTTATGTTAATCACCATACATTACATCATTAGTTTTTTATGTAGTGTTCCATGATTCATTGTTTGCATATAACACCCAGTGCTACTTTTTTTATTATGTTGATCACCATACGTTACATTATTAATTTTTGATGTAGTGTTCCATGATTCCTCGTTTACATACAACACCGTGCTCCATGCAGAACGTGCCCTCTTTAATACCCATCACCAGGCTAACCCATCCCCCCACACCCCTCCCCTCTAGAACTCTCAGTTTGTTTCTCAGAGTCCCTAGTCTCTCATGATTCGTCTACACCCAGTGCTACTTTAATAAATGACCTAAGTTTCACCTGAAAATAGACCAAAAATAATACAACTTATAATGGGTTTTTAAAAAGACCTAACAAAATCTTCTATTTTCAAGAGAAATGCTTATTGGCTTTTATAAGGAACATTAAGGGTTATACTTAGTTATATAAATTATTATTATACTTAGTTATATAAAGGTAGTGTTATGTAGTACTTATACTTAGTTATATAAAGGTAGTGTTATGTAGTACATATTAAGTGATTTGTTTGGTGGCATCAAATTCTTTCTTATAATAAACACTACATTTTTCTCTTATTTTTAATATTCTATTATGTCAATCTACTGACATATACAAGGATCTACTGACACATACAAGGATAGGCACAATAGGTTAATAAACATTTTGTAATTCTCATTACTGTGGCATTCATAAAACATCCTTAATTATGGTTTTCCTAGTAGGAGATTCTTGTATACTTTTTCTTTGTAAATAAATATTCAGAGTTTCTACTTTAATGTAAATCCCCATACCCAGAAGTACTTTGTCAATTACCAAAGCTATCTTTGTTCATAATCCTTGCCATCACCCCTTTATGTAATTTGTATGAATAAACTTGCTGTGCATTCAAAAAATCATAGATTTTTAGAAAAGGTCCGCTGTGGTACTCTAGCCCAACTCTTACGTTTTACAGATAAGAAACTGTCAGTTCGAAGAGTTTAAACAATTTAAGGTTACAGAACTAAGTGCCAAAGCTTGAATAGAATTCTTTATATATTTAAGAATCTTTTGTTAGAAGTAGGTATTGTGAATATTTTCTTCCCATGAGACATATCTTGTCATTTTCTTAATGAAAATGAAATGTCTTTTGATGATCAGATTAGTTTCCTTGAAGGACAAATTATCATTTTTTTCCTTTTGTGATTTTTTAAATTCTTATGTGAGTAATCTTTGCCTACTCCATGGTCATGAAGATATTATTGTTTTCTTCAAGAAACTTTTTAATATTCAGCTTTCTTTTTTAGGACTATATATCATCTTAATTTTGATTGTGGTGTGAAGAGATTAAGGTCCATTTTTCCCTATATATTTGTCCAGTTTTTCTATCATTATTTGTTAAAAAGATTTTCCTTTCTTCATTAATTTTTATTAGTGACTTAGTAAAAAATAAATTGGCTACATAAGTGTAGGTTTATTTCTGGACTTTCTATTCTGTAGTACCCCACTAATTAACGTAGGTTTATAGTACATCTTGAAGGAGTAAAATCTTCCAACTTCGTTCTTTTTCCAAGAGATTTTTTATTTTGGATTCTTTGCATTCCTAAATAAAGTTTAGAATCAGTTTGTCAATTTCTATAAAAGGATATGCCAACATTTTATTGGACTGTAGTAAGTCCATAGATAATTTTGGCAGAGTAAACATTTAAAAAATAGTCTCCCAACCCATAAACATGGTGTTCTCCTCCATTTAAATGATCTTTTAAAATTTTCTTTCTGCACTAGTTTGTAGATTTCAGTATAGAGGTTTCAATCATGGCATTTTTCAAGTCTTCTATTTCCTTTTCGGTCTTCTACCTAGTCCTTGTATCCTTATTCAAAGTGCAGTATTGAAATTTCTAATTGTCTGTCTCCCTTTGATTCTGTCAAGTATTGCTTCATGTGCATCTTAGTTCTGTTGTTAGATGCTTAGATGTATATAGTTGTTAAATCTTCTTGATGGGTTGACCATTTTTTCATTTTAGATGTCTCTATTTCTAGTAACTTTTTTTTGCTTTAAAATCTATTTTGTCTGATATTAACTACAGCCTTTTTATGTTTGCTGTTTGCATGATCTTTTTCTGTCATTTTACTTTCAACCTATTTGTATCTTTATGCCTTCAGACAGTATAGAGTTAAATCTTGATTTTTAAAAAAATTCAGTCCAACAATCTTTATCTTCTGATTGGATTGTTAAACCTATCCATACTTAATGTTATTATTGATATAGTTGGATTACATCTGTCATCTCACTTTAGGCTTTCTGTATGTCTCATGTCTTTTTTATTCCTCTAATCTTCCTTTACTGCTTTGTTTGACAGTAAGTAAATATCTTCTGGTGCAATTTATTCTTTCTTTAATAATTCTGTCATCATAATTTTTTAAAGATTTTATTTATTTGACAGAGAGACAGTGAGAGAGAGAACACAAGCAGGGGGAGTTGGAGAGGGAGAAGCAGGCTTTCTGCTGAGCAGGGAGCCCAATGTGGGGTTCAATTCCAGGACCCTGAGATCATGACCTGAGCTGAAGGCAGATGCTTAACGACTGAGCCACCCAGGTGCCCCTCATCATATTTTTGGAGTTCTTTGTAATTGCTCTAAGACAACATATACATCTTAATTTATCAGAATCTACTTCAGGTGTATATTAATGCCAGGGGGATATAGAAATGTTACTCATATAGCTCTATATCCTCTTTTCCCCTTTATATGCTATTATATTGGCATACATATTACATCCATATGTGTTAGAAATCCAACGACATATTATAATTACTTTATATAACTTTGTTTTTTTTTATAAACCTGAGAAGGAAGAGAGCAAAACAATGTATTTGTAAAGTTTGTGTATTAACTTTCTAATTTACCATTTCTAGCTCTCTTCATTTGTTGTGGTCAATCCACCTGGTTTCATCTGCTTATTCAAATACAGCTTGGCTCCCACCTACCTCCTCGGTGCTGTTACGGAAAATATATTACATTTCTATATGTTATAGGCCCAACAATAAATTTTATACATATTGTTTTATAAATGGCTTATTAAATCGGTTAGATGAAAAATGTGCACTTACACTATTTTATAATTAGATAATTACCTTAATAATGTTCTTTTTTTCCTTTGTGTGAATTCAAGTTATCATCTGGTGTTTACTTTCTTCAGCCTGAGAAAACTTTACTTAGTATTTCTTGTAAAGTGTCTGTGCTAGCAACAAAATTCTCTCATTTTTTGTTTATCTGGGAATGTCTTTATTTCATCTACATTTTTGAAAGATCATTTTGCTGGATATAAGATTCTGGGGTTTAGTTTTCTCCTTTGAGCACTTTGAATATGTTGTCCTACTGCTTCCAACCTAAACTGTTTCTGACGAACTATTACTCCTACTGGAGCTCCCTTGTAGTGACAAGTCATTTTTCTCTCAGTTCTTTCAAGATTTTCTCATTACCTTTCTAAATTTATACTATGATGTGTCTGGGTGCAGATATCTTTGCATTTATCCTATTTGGAGTTCACTGAGCTTTTGGACATATACATTAATGGTTTTCCTCAAATTTTGGAAGTTTTCTGCCATTATCTTTTTGAATATTTTTCTGCTTCTCTCTCTTCTCTCCTTCTACTACTCTTATTATGGACATGTTGGTATACTTAAGCTACCCTAATTTTTTTTTTCTCTTCTTCAGAATGCATAGTCTCTATCAGCCTACCTTCAAGTTTGCTGATTCTGTTTCTACCAGTTCAGATAGACTGTTGAGTCCCTCTAGTGAATTTTTCTTTTCACTTATTGTACTTGGTTCTTGTTTTCCCTCAACCCCATTCACTCATTTCACCCATCTTCCACTCTCTGCCTGTGGAAACCACTAATCTGTTCTCTGTATTTATGTGCTCATTTTTGTTGTTCTTTGTTCTTTTTTAGATTCCACATATAAAGTGATATCATATGGTATTTGTCTTTGTCTTATTTCACTTAGCATAATGTTCTCAAGGTCCATCCACGTTGTTGCAAATGGCAAGATTTCCTTCTTTTTTATGGCTGAATAATAATCCATTGTGTGTGTGTGTGTGTGTGTGTGTGTAACTCAACTGTATTTTCTTTACTCAGTCATCCATTGATGGACACTTAGGTTGTTTTCACATCTTGGTTATTATAAATAATGCTGCATGGGAGTGGCATATATCTTTTTTGAGTTAATTTTTTATTTCTTTGCATAGACATCTAGAAGTGAAATTGCTGGATCATATGGTAGTTCTATTTTTAATTTTTGAGGAACCTCCATACTGTTTTTCAAAGTGGCTGTACCAATTTACATTCCTACCATCAGTGCACAAGGGTTTCCTTATCTCTACATCCTTGCCAACACTTGTTATTTCTTGTCTTTTTAGTGATAGCCATTCTAGCAAGTGTCAGGTGATATATCATTGTGGTTTTGATTTGCATTTCTCTGATGATTAGTGATGCTGAGCACCTTTTCATGTACCTGTAGGCGATCTGCATGTCTTTTTTGAAAAATGTCTGTTCAGATCCTCTGCTCATTTTTTAATTGGAATTTTCTTTTCTTGCTATTGAGTTGTATAAGTTCTTTATATATTTTAGATATTAACCCCTTATCAGATATATGATTTTTAAATATTTTCTTCCATTTCATGGATTACCTTTTCATTTTGTTGATGGTTTCCT